GGACTTTGAGCAGGGTCTGCGGAGCAACTGTTAGTTAGCCCGCAACGGCTAGCGGCAATCCGTTGACTAAAAGATTGCCACGTCCGGACGGTGAAAGGAAGGCGTCAGTTTTTAATAAGCAGAAGGAGGTGGTAGATAACAGTAATGCTGTGCTGCAGAGGTCAGATCTGTCTTGGGTTGCTGATCCTTAAATGGCGGTTGGAGCAGAAAGTCACGATGATGCAAGCTGCCAGGGCTGGAGAAGCACGAGGCTATGCGCTTGCTTTCTTACAGCTCTTCCACGGTTGGCTGATATTTTTTAAAATTGTTCTCATGGGGGATGATAAATGACAGAAGGGAGAAGGTGACTGCTAAACAGTCAAAACTTGTGAAAACAGGGAACTGGAGGAGGGCACGGAGCAAGGCACCCTCAGGAACACGTGCTTTCCCTGGAGGGTGTCTGGTGTAGGTGTGTGACAGGGTCAAATGGGCTCAAGCTTCTCATCCTGGTGCTGTGAAGGCCTGGCTTGGCAGGACCGGGAAGAGGTTGACATTGACAATGAGGTCCTGTGACTTAATAGAACCTCAGCTGGGGACAGTCCCAATGAGAGGACCGCTGTAAGAGGTTCTGAAGAGCAGCTGCAGCCTGGCACACTTAGTGCATGTGTGCACTATGATCTCCCGCTCACTGCAGGGGCCCAAATCAAAGGACACTGTGAGCCAAATCAGGAACGTGCCCTCTGCTCTGCAGAGAAGTCACCAACCTGTGTGCCCAGCGGACCACAGCATTAGTCCTAATTGCAAGCTGGTCTTCCAGGACTCTTCAACCTGGTGGTAAAACATCCACTGGTTTCTGTCTGGTTGGGATGGAACAGTAAGGAAACGGAGCATGTGGACTGCAAGCATGTGGAAATGTCACTGTCCTTGGAGACAGGATACGGTGCTAAGGATATGACCCTTAGATCTGGCTCACTAGGCTGTTAAGACTTCAGAGAAATATCAAAGGTGTCTGGGTTAACCTTATATCAAAGGTTATAAAGGGAGATTTTTGGAGACTATTAAAAATATTAAGGAGAAATCCTGGAAATGTCGCAAGGAGTATTTCTAAGAGATCACAAGGTAGTTAGCAGTACAGAAAGTATAATCACAATTTCTATTCTGTACCTGGGAAGAAGCCCAAAGAGTTATATCTTGGCATACTGGGAACATTTGCACTGCTTTATGCAAAAGAGATATGGTCTGGCCTGGTGGGTGTGGCTTGTTTGTTTGTTTGCTTGGGGTTTTTGTTTGTTTTTAGCAAAATGGGCTGCAAAAGGTACATGGTTCACAATCATGACATCAGCTTCTCCCGGTTAAAGATGCTCTATGAATGATCATTTCAGTCTGTTATTTGTGAGTACTCTGCAACCTCACGCTGTTGCTGAGCTCTTGCTCAGTATTGCCTGTGTTTCTGCCTCTCTGGCTAAGGGAGATGTCAGGTCTGCCCTATTACAATGGCAAACACCCGGCCTCAGCTAGATTGTGGCCATTTCTTGAATGGCTACGGGAATAAACCTCTGGAGAAACTATTGCTACTGTAAAGTACTGCCTGTGTCCCTTCAGCTATCCGGACTTTTACTAGCACATCAGATGACTCTCTGTATATATTTTCTGGGAAATTTTGGTTTCAAATATTGGCCTTTATCTTTGAGGTGCTACATGAATATAAGCCATGTATCTGAAACGTCTCTAGAATGAAGACTGTATTTGAGAAATTCCCTTCTCTAAGAAAACACATCTTCCTATATTAGTATAGCCCATCCCTACGGGAGCCAAAACCTTTGTGTGTGGTATTTCAAGACAGTGAGGCAAACTTTCACAGAAATTGTAGGCAGATTGTGTCTTACCTCATGCTGTGCCAAGCGTGCAGCAGGCTGTTCCACCTTTTGATTAAAAGACAGAGCAGTATTTAATGCTCTGGTAACACATGCCGCTTCCAGTAACAAAGTAGTTACTGTTTTTTCTGCATATAACACCATGACCACCTTGTTATACCAGCAGAGAAGCCAGTTAATAAGGGTAGCGTGACTCATAGCAGTTGCTCAGTCTTTCTCATCTGAGACCACAGACTACCGTTAGAAAATAATCATGCAAATCACTGACTTCTCAGAGAACCTCTGGGGAAAGTGAGCAAGAGCTCGCTCTTTCTCTCTCGTGCTCGCTCGCTCTCTCTCTCACCCTCTCTCCCTCCCCCAAGGCAAATCCTATGACTGGTTTCTACTTCTGAAAGGCCTACCAGCAGCACCTCTTCCACCGACTAACTTCCTTGACTTTACTGAGAATGTTACATAAAGAATCTGACACAGCACGGGAAGCAGTAGCTTGTGGGCTAGAAAAATTGAATGCCTGAGATTTGCTCACAGACCTATCATAATGTACTATTTCTCTTGCTCTCACAGTCTGATCTTTCTAATGCTGTTCCTCTGGTTGATGCAGGGCTCCTGTGTCTACAGACAGGAATGCACAAGGAAGCTGTTAATAAGAGTTACTGGTAACTGACTTCCTTTCTTCTGTAGCGTATGGTTTGTAGCTCAGAATCCTACCCTACAGCCTTGGTTGTGCATTTGTCAAGAGTCTGTCTCTCTTGGCTCTTCAGGATAAGATCCTTCTCTGTATCCCAGCCCCAAGTCTACCATGAGTGACTTGCCCCTGCCGTTTACGGCTGGAGTAAATACTATTGAAGAGCAGAGGGCTCGCTGGGAGAGAAAGCGCAGCCGGACAGCTAAGGAGCTACTGGAAACTGAACACACATATCTTGGGCAGCTGGATCTGGTGGTCACAGTGAGTATTCTGTCCCCGTCTGATATGTGGGTGCCTTCAGGCAGCATGTTTTCAGGACTCTCGTACATCTCTACAGCATGGGACAAATCCCAACTGTTCATATTGTTGGTGCCGAAAGGTAGTTTTCGCCTCCTCTGATTACATCTGATGGCTTGTGGTTTTCGCCCCTTGGCTTTCATCCACACCCAGTTGTAAGTCTTAAAGCTGTGCTTGTATGGGGAGCGTGGCTCAAGATGTTTGAGATCTATGAAACAGAGGGGCACAGAAGAGACAAAGATAGATAATGAACAATGTGGTTAAAAACAGATGTGTCGAGGAATACGGAAATAGACTCAGTCAATACTGTAGTGCATGTGTGTCTATAAAGTTACGGTAACATTACCAAGAAGGCTTGCATCTGATGATTTTTTGGGTAGGCTTTCCTAATGCTTGATATCCTTTTGAGCTCAAGAGCATGCAGGCTGCAACTTCTGCTGCTGCATGCTAAGAATAACCTCAGAGTGACGTGTGTGTGTGTATGTGTTTTTTTAACCATTTGACACGCTCTCTCTTTCCTACTTAGTACTTCGTGACAATTTTAAAGGCTAAAGGGACACTAAAACCTGCTGTACTGGAAACCATATTTGGACCCCTAGAATCCATATATTTGGCCAGCCAGTAAGTGAACAGTCCGATATAGTCCCTTCAGTTATATGGGGAGGATTCTCTACTGACGATGAAACAGGATTTCAGGAAGTAAAACCTAACATCTTGTGAAACAGGCCTTCACTTCTAGCATTACTAGCTTTGGTGGCGCTTGGAGATGTACCCAGGAAACTGCTGATATGTATCCACACATCGGGATGCCCAGTTGCTGTCTGGATAGTGGTCTTTAAACTCAGTAAGCCTGTTCTGCAGTAATCTTTACAAAGGGGTGCTTTCTGTAGCTTGCACTGTGACCATTACGTACGTGCTCTGGATGGAAACTGGAAGTGAGGTGGTGACTGACAAGCGAAAGTCAAGATAGGAGCAAAGTAGAGGGAGCTGACAAAATGCTACAAGTGATGTATCGCTCCATACTTATCTTTCCTCCTTGCGCGCAGGGTTCTGTCATTTCACCTGGAGAGGGGGAATTTGGGACTAGGACTGGAAAACTTATGTCAGAAATTGGAGCTTTATGGCCACTATTCTGAGAATTTGGAGCAGGCAAATAAAACCTTGAAGGTAATTATTTCCTGTGCCCTTCCTATTCTCTCCTCCTTTTCTTTCTCCATTTTTCAAAACAGCCACATTCTTCCCTTTCTCTTACTTCTGCTTCTAGAGTGATCACTTTTCTTCTTTCTGTGCTGCTGCTATTTTCCCAGTCTCCGTCGTGACAGCACGATGAAAGCATCTCTACTTATTTAAAGCTTCAAACTTTTGTTGTTTCAGGCGCGATCTTCTTTTCGTGCGGAGCAGAGCTTTTCCAAACAGTTCCAGTGGAATTTCCTTTGTCCTTCCCCATTTTTTTTCTTTTCTATTGTAGAAGAAAAGATTTTCCTCCCCACCCCCCTGCCCAGCTTTTTTATTTTTCCTTCCCATCTCCCTCCTTGGATATAGTCAGCCTTCCAAGAGATTTCAGAACGATATTTTTATCCTGAAATCCTGAAAGCTTTACCTGGAATTCATACCACCTGACTACCAGTTCTCGTCAGAGCTTGTTCTCAGCTGTAGGAGGTATTCTAATATGTTTCTGCTCTGCTTGTATGCATATGCATGCCCTTTTGATGCCCCAAGGGAAAAATAAGATGATTTGGATACCTGCCTTGAAGCAATGAAAACACAGGGTGGCATTGCTTTGTGTTGAGATGAGTGATAAAAGCCGCTGCTAGACTCCTTGTTTTTTATTTGTTTGAGCTACCCTTCCTTTTTTCTTTGCTTCTATGTGCCATGTAAACTGCTGAGCATGAACAGGGGATGTCACTACCATTACTTGCTGGAAAATGGTGGTTAGGAGAAAGGGATGAGTTTGTCCATGGCCAAAAAAGAAGTTTCTGATGCTTGTGTTTAGAACAGGAATTCTATTTTCTAAGCTCTGGCACAGACCATTAGAGTGCATGTTTTTTCTGCAGTCTCAAGGGTATGTGTTCTGTCGCATACAGGAGCAGTTGAAGAAGAATAAGTCATTTCGACGTTTTAAAAAACTCCAGGAGTCTCGACCTCAGTTTCAAGGGAGGAAGCTAGAAGACCTGCTTCCTTTGCCCCTACAGAGATTGAATCAGTAAGTATGCAGTTCTGACTCCCCACGGTGCTAGTCTGAGAAGGCAAAAGGAACATAGCATAGCAGTAGTGTCTCCATTGCTATTGGAGGTAGAGTTCCTTAGTATGTCTGCACATTGGAGCGCACAGACTGCAGTGAAACAGGCCTGTAGATGTGCCTATAAAGTGGAATCGGTATGGGAGATGATGCAGAGAGGTGGCTATGCTTAGCCCTGGCTCCTAAGTCCTTCATTTAGCTCTGAGGTAGAATTGGAGTGGAAGCTTTCTGTCATCTTAGTAAGTGACTGAAGCTGGGCCCTGGACAAGAGCAAGCTGTCTGAAGTGCTGTAGAAATGGGGCTGTCTGATGGAGATGGTCTCTCTGCTTTTGTGCAGGTTGCTGACCTAGAATATTGTGGCTCTCCCTTCTGGTAGATAACTGCTCTTGGAAAGAAGTGAGATTAATGAAGTCGGGGGAGCTTTTCTTCTATCTCTGGTTATCAGGACCATATGCTTTCCTCTTATTTGGTGCCTGTTAGTTTTCTGAGTCTGGACACATCCAGTCTGGATTGTTGCATTCCCCCTTTGAGGCATCCTTTGACGAGCAGGACAAAAGGGTGCTGCACGCACTCAATAGCTGTCCTTTCTTGGGAGAGGTACCTTGGTAATACAGGGCACAGTTAGGTTGCTGGAACTGCAATTGCTGCTGTTGTAGGTCAAGGAGCTGCTCTTTAACCATAGTCTTATCAGTGCTAAAGCAAATTTGAGAGCATAAGGACAGTCTATTTTCCTTGAAGATAATTGGGGGTGAGTATACCACAGTCTTTCAGTCAGCTCTATTTAATGTCGTAACCTGCTTGTCCGATACAGGTGTAAGATGTCTGGGTTTTTGTCTTTTTTTTTTTCCCCTCCTGTAATTTCTTGGCACATTCATTTAACTTCATAAAACAGCAAGATATTTGCTGCTGTCCTATTCTCTGGAGCAATGGCTGCTTTTTAATACGAGGTCTATCTTTCTATTAATTCTCTCTTTCATGTTTATGTTTCTTCAAAATCTTGGCTATGTATTCTGCATGTTGCATGACTTTTGCCTTTTCGTGAATCTGTTCAATGTGATATTTCTTCTGTCATTTCAGGCTGTGAAAGTAGTTTGATTTTATTGTGAGAAAGAATTTGTGGAGACCCTTTCTAGTAAATAATGGGGAAAGGCAGGTCCTACTTATAGCAATGTCTTTATTTTCTTGTGTGGGCAGGGAACATATGGTATGAATGCTTCCACTGAGAAATAAAACCCAATAGTTCAGAGTTTTGTCTGTTATTGAAGGCTTTTTTATGTGAATGTTGAAGTCAGAGTCTTGTGAACTTAAGCAACATATGGGTGTTTTTTATCAGCGCCCCAGGCTTCCAAGTGGGTAAATTTCATTGTTAAATATGAAGATAAAAGGAATATGTTCAAAGAATTGTGATGTAGAGCTGCTTGGTTAGACTTGGAGGAGTGTGTGTGTGTGCACACATGCATGTATGGAATGTGTACGTGTCCTCGTGGAGTCTTTCTTCAGTCTGAGTCTCAAAATAAGTGTTTCCTAAGCTCCTGATTCCCCTCCTTTGGGAGGACAGTAAGATGCTCTGTGGGAACGAGGGGACCAGTCAGACTTGATAATGTGAATAAAACTGTGCGACCCTCACTATTGTCGATGGGTGCCAGGACGATTGCTGGACACTGACTATGATTCTTGGACTTGGTGATAATCTGTCTGGAAACTTCTTGGTTTTTATTTTTATTTCTAGATGCATGTTGGTGTTCCCTTGGTTCTGGCTTGTATCTGGCAATGGGGATGCAGCAAAGGGCCTCAAAAATGATCTATAAGGATTATATATTAAGTGTACTACATGTCTAGAGAATGACAGAAGTGGTCAGCTATCCAGGTGGCCCAAGATGGAGGAATGTGGGAGGACAGGCTTTTGATCAGAGGTGGTAGGCTGGAGACAGCCTTTAGATGGCAGAGTTCTCCCATGAAAAAGAACTGCTTTTTAGGCTGTGATGCTGGATGTCACAGAGGGGAGAAAACAATGCTATAGATTTATGGCAAAGCGGGGGCAGCTTACTAGATACCTTGGGGATAACAGGGCTGAGGTAGGGGGTGGGTTGGCCCTTCAGCTTCAGATTGTGTAGTTCGGATTTTTTCTCCCAGTGGAGAAGAAAGCACGGGTTATCATCCCTCACTAATAGGAGAGGCTGCTGCTCCTGGTATCTCTTTATGAAATGAAACTACTCCTTCTATCTTAGGTACAAACACTTCCTCAGAGACTTGCTGGAGAACACCAGCCCAGACAACGCGGAGTACCAGAAACTTGCAAGTACGATTCCCCGTTATAAATGCTGACACTTAGATCAGTGTTAACCTCCTTGCTAATCCTCATCTTCCATCTACTTCCTACAGGAAAAAATATCCTCTTCTGTCTGAGGTTCTAGGGCATTACTGTTTCCCATCACCATCTTGATCCCAAGATATCCTGTGCAGCAGGTACAGGGAATAGCAATAGAGAGCAATGGACTCGGGGAAGGGCCTAGAGGTTATGTCAGAGAAGCGAAAGCTGTTGGTCACATACTTCAATTTTCTAGGAAAATTGAGGTCCTTTATCACCTACCAGAGGTCAACGCCACATGTAATGGGGCATTTTTCCTTTATTTTTGCCTTCAAATTCAGGAGATTATTCCTCTGTCTAGTATTTCATTGGCAAATGTATGTCTCCCAGAACCACGGAAGTGTTGGTTGAAAGGGGCCTCTGGAGGTCCAAACTCCCACTGAAATTAATGAGCAACTTCCTTACTGACACTCAGCTTAAAATGTTTGTTTCTTAATTTCACCTTGTCTTTTCACAGCGAGATAGATCAGGAGTAGCACATACTCGCTTGTGTAACCTCAGAATATGCTGCTATAATTGCAGAGACTGTGAAATATGTTTCTGAGGTATCTCGATGGGTCCAAGACATCATTCGTAATAGAGAGAACTCACTACAGCTACTTCGGGTTCAGAAACTGCTCAAAGGACAGAAGACCAAGGTGTTGGCTCCAGGTGGGTCTTAATGACAGCTCTGCTTTTCCTCTGCCAAACTGAGAAAACTGGAAGAAGGCTTGCTTCCTATTAACCAGTGTTCCCCTCTCAGCCCAAATTCCACAGATAGGTGGTGAAGGAATGTACCTAGTAAGTAATTTGGGCACTTTATTACTTTTTCATTTAAAAAAAAAAAAAAGTCTTTTGGTAAGGATAAGCAGCAGCTTAATTGCCTGACATTCAGGTGGGAGGAGCTGATGATAGGTAGTCAAAAAGTTAGTCACAGAGAGTCCAAGGAGGTCAGAAGAAAGAGCGTTGGGTGAGAATGAGAGAAAGGAAGGCTTGAAATAATTTTTGAAGAATGCGAGTAGCAGTGTTCTCCCTTCTCCATGCAGAAACGATTGACTTGGAGTGTCAAGGGCTTGGTGACTGTTGTGTTATTGTAAGCTACAAGCTGCATGGAGTTCTGGCCACACCCTATACATGATAAGAATCTTTTATCTGCATGGTTAAACAGTGCCAGAAGTCAGAGTATTTGCCTTGACAGCTGAGATGTATAAGGTCAGTCACTGGCATGCAAGTTCATCTACCTGGATAACAGGTTTCTCTTGTGTAACTGTGTGCTGTCCATGCCAAGAGCACCCTCCAAGCTACACAGGTGACGTTGTGAGGAAATGCCTCCAGTCTGGATACTTGTGAAACGGTCACTTGGGGTTTCGCCCATGGCTTCACAAAACATTGCTATTGCAGAAGTCATCTAGAAACAGTGCTGTGTTTGGAGAAGAGCGTTGAAGTCGCTGTGTGTAAGGGTCTCCAAGACACATCTCCACTTATCTGTGAATGTGGTGTGGTTATTGCTTCATACATGTGGATTATTGGGTGAAGGTAGAAAAAAGGTTCCTGTGACAGCATTATGCCCTTTTTTGGCCAATGATTATCTGACAACTGTCTTTATTTCCCTTGCATGTTCAGGGCGCTGGTATATCCGGGAAGGCTGGCTTTTGGTGGTGCCTTCCAAGGGAGAAGAACTGAAGCGCAGGATGTTCTTCCTTTTTTCTGATATCTTTATTGCAACAAAGCTGTGCCATCCGTTGCACCTTCTGAACTCAAACAAATTCAGGTGCCGGGCTGTCTACCCACTTCAGCAGTGCACCGTGGATAAAGTGTTTGGCCACACGCAGAGCCAGGGAGGGCTTCTCAGTGTAAGTCTTCCTTCTTCTGCCTTGCAGAAGCATCAGCGAGGGTCAGACTTGCAAACCAAGTCTCCAGCTGTCTCAGCAGTGGCAGGACTGAGATGACAAAAGGGGTGTCTGCTAAATACAAAGAACTAGTATGAGTTGAGGCGATTCTTATCTTTTTGGGTGATGTAGGTTGCCCTTTTTTCCCCTCAGTGTAGGCCCTTCTAAGCACTCTGGAGTACAGGCTGCTGCTTGTTTCACTTAGCTCAGCCAAAGGGGGTCTGCAGAGACTCTTGACAGTGGCCTCATCAGAGCACGTTTTGGGAATTGCCCCTGCAGTTGCCTGACAAGTAAGAAGCAGCATTATAGCGACGGTGGATTGAGCTTACAGGCTATCCTGGAAAACACAGGATGCGGAAAGATGTTGGCCATATCACAATGGATATTGCTCATGCATCCAACTCTGTACGCATTGCAGAATCTTTAACTGGGACTAATGCCATAGCTGCGGGATTCAAGTTCAGTTTTTTCCAGTTCGCAGCACCTGGAAAGCTGCATGTTGGCTCACTCTTTGTAAGCCGTGGAAAGGAAGAATCTTTGGACAAACTGTGAATTTGTGGGTAGTGTTTGCAAAGAACTCTCAGGAGCAGCTTGCAATAAGGGAGAAAACTGGACAAATGGCACTAAGGACTGGCATTGCCCACTTCCAAGCATCCTATTAAATATGCAAGTCTAAGGGAGCTGTCATCTGTAGCTGGAAGGACTGGAGTGAGACAAGTTTGCCATTGGCTCTGTACTGTCCAGCCTCCAGCTTCCCCTAGTACCCACGCTCACTTTTTTTCTAGGGGGGAAGGAAATAGTGGAACTCTGCATGCAGGGCTGAGTCAGTAGTGCAGTGGTGATGTCTCTCCCTGTATCAGAGTTGCTGCCCTGACAAGGCACGCTACAGAAGGGCACCAGATTCTGCTTCTCTTTCAGCTTTCCTTTCCACACAAGACGCTGTTGTTGATGTCCAGTGACCAACAAGATATTAACGACTGGTATCAGAGTCTCACAGCTGCAATCAGGTGAGCCATCCTCCTCTCTTATGAGGGAATGGGGCCCAACACAAAAGTGACTGTATGACTGTATGGACCTATACAACTGCATCTATGCTATGGCTAGAAGGCTGATAGGGGAGACCTGGCTGACAGCTAGGATGCAAGGGAATAAGCTTCATGTATTAACTGTGAACTTTCCCTTTGTTTTTCCTCTACAGGCAGCTGAAAGCCTGACTCATCTGAGTACAAGACAATCCGGCAGGACAACCTCCCCTCTTGGTAGAAGTGTAGGACAATTGCATTCACAAGGACTACACACAGTGAGATTAGGACACAGCTGTCCTAATCTCAGTACAGGAGGTATTGCAAAAAAGCATATGCACGTTAAGAATATGTATATAAAGAATTTGTATCAGGACTTCTCCCATAGCTTCTGCTTCTAGCTTTTTTTATACTTTTTCTCAAGTTCTTAAGGACAACCAGAAGAGGCCCTAGTTTGCTTTCTCTCATTAAACTTTTTATCCAATTGTCTTTCTAAATGGGTGTTTTCACACTTCCATGTCTACACGCACTTGTAGCGTAGACGCACTACCCTCTCTGGCTCTTCATCCTTAGATCAAAATGGATGTCTTGGATAACAGCAACATAGGCATAACACAGCATTTTCAGCTAGTGCTACAGGGCCATGCTACTTACTCCCTTGACTGTTTGTTTTTTCTTTTTAATCATTCATAGCCTTCAGTTTTATATCAAAACACTTTGTCACTCATGGTCCGTCTTCCTCTAAGAAAGTGGCAGTCAACAGATGAAGGGAAACCAGTTCAGTGCTTGAGGAAGTGACAGGTAAGATCATCTTAATCCCACAGAAAAGGGGATTTGCTGAACTGTCTTAAATAAGTTGACAGCTAACACACTCATGCATATCAAATCAGGTTCAGGTTTCTAATATGAATCCTAAGAGATTATGCACATGAAAGAGCACTGTCCTCTGCCTTCAAGGTTTGCAGTAACCAGATCACACTGCACCTCTACAATGAAAAGCTTGGGCAGCATCTCTGCTCCTAAAGCACAGCAGAAATCTCCAGAGGGCTAAGCTCAGCATATGGGGTCATCAGATTGCCAGTAATACACTGGATATCAGTTTACTAAGGTGAAGAAACAATTTCAGGAAGAAACATAGAATCCTGAATAGAGAATTACCAAATTCCAAGTTCTTCAACATCATTAGATCTTGTAACAAGGTGGGAACTGTATGGAAAGACAATGCCTACTCTGTTGCCATAGTCTGGAAACATGGGGAGAGCTTTCAAGTACAATCCAAGGTTAAACTAGCACTTGAAGTTTCACATCTCCTGTGAAACATTACAATGTGTCAGCACTGTCTGTGCAAATACAGCTGCTCTCCCTTTTCACTCTGAGAGCACAATTTGGAGGTTTCTTTAAATCTTACAACTGAGGCTGAGATGCCTGCCCGTCTCAAGTCAAGAGTGATGACTATTATCCTTGCCTGCATGGGTTCCTTATTAAAATACAAACCCCTTTGGTGTTGCTGCTTTTAAAGCCTACCTCAGTGCTGCTATTTTAACTTCCATTCAGCACTTCTTTGGAACAGCAAAACTAGCCTAATGATTCACTGAATGCCCACCCCTGAAAGGCTGCACACTGGCTTCTAGTAAAGACTTCAGTTCAGTCACAGGGGAGCGGAAACACAGGGCTGTAGGACCAGAAAGTGAAACACATCAAGACTTTTGCCATGATAAACCACTAAATCATGTATACAGGAATATAATCAAAACAGCATCCAACTCACTTTCTGAATAATGTTTATTTACACAAGGCCCCCAGCTTGATTTCCTTCTCTTGCTGAGTTGCTATTTAAACTACAGGAAGAAGGATATAAACCTCAAGCTTGTGCCCCCTCTTATGATAATTCAAGTCTAGAAATCCATGCTGGGACCTCCTAGGACATCTTCCATTCCTGTGCTCTGGGACAGCAGTGAGCTGCCCCCCAAGGTGAGCCCGCCAGCCTTGCGCATGAGTGGCTCATGCCAAGCCCCATCCCTACACACGCATGGGGCCTCCCTTGGGGAAGAGAGGGGTGCCTACACAGCGGTGCCCTCGGGGGCCCGTGGGGCCGCGGCCTGCCGGACGTCCTCCCGGTAGCCCTTCAGGAGCTGGTTGAGCAGCGTCTTCTCAGTGTCGCGGCGTGGCTGGATGAGTGGCGGGAAGGGGTTCCCCTTGAGCTCGATGACGGCCATCTTGGCGCGGTCGCTGTCCCGGTTGGGGATCTGCAGCAGGCGGGTGTAGTTGCCAGGGTGGGGCTGGAACCGCGGCGCCAGCACCTTGAACAGCTTGTGGATGAGATCCTTCTCCTGCGGGGTGGCAAGTGCAGCTCCGGCACCGCCGCCAGCG